ATACAAAGGTAGCAGCGTGGCTTATATGCGTGCGCGCTAGCAAAATTCGCATATTCTCGCGATGCATTCGCGTTGCATAATGCTGATCGCCTCACGCGCCTTTCATTACTTTGGGAATGTGTGCGTCCTTACACGGCGCGCAGAGGACGTGCACAACACATCGACAATCCGCGCTGCTGCGTTTGTATGGAGTTACCATATTTATTTGTCTTATTATATGGTTGTAACGTAGCCAACTCTTGCAATACAAAAATTTGAAATGTTATGTTCCCTAGACCTTTTTAATGACATACACGATTTCGTATTAATAAGACATACAGACGAACCTAGTTCACCGTATCACGGCGACGGTCCCAATACCTGGTCAACAATAATTGAAACGATGAATTCGATCACAACCTCAACCGATAGTCCTTAATGCGTTATCTTTACTCAGTTACAATACAAACTAATTTTACCCTGCCAAAAGCACAACTTGCTCCTTACAGGAAACAAGTGTCATTTGATACCCATGTCTTCTCCCATACTGCATTTTTACGTAGTCAATTGCGACCCTGTGATCGATAAATTCGCGAATCCATTAGTCATATTTTATTCACCGTATAGTTTTACGTTGTTTAACATCGCTTCTATCTTACACTTTCAAACACAGAACATGGTCATTACTAAAGTCGTTGTTAAATAAGAAACCTGCACAATGGGTCAGTGGCGTGGAAAAAATAGCATCGCGCTTTTTACAATAAAAAAAATTGTCATGTCAACCGCCTCAGTTTTGGACACGTAGGGTTAATTGTTGGTTGCTCATCCCAGGATAACATGGCGCTATCTGAAACTTGATAAGGTAGTGGAACCGATGATGGACAGTGCACCAATCATGAACATTTTTTAACTATACCGCCAAAAATTAGAAAACCCAAATTTTTTTTTACTTACAAATTTTTTTACAATGTTCATCGAAATGGAAGACTTCAGTTCAATTTTGACAGCTGGCGGCCATCTTTATTCGCTATTATCGCGGTGCAAAATAAGACAGTAATAACAAATTTCAAAAAAAACTGAATTGTTACAAGAACCGCGCCTCAGGTACAGTCAAGAGCACATTAGGCTTGACACTTGTACTTTGGAGCGGTCTTATCGTAAGCGGCATAGAGTTGGATTTAAGTCTTGAGTATAAAGCTTGACGTGCTCTTGAGCCTGTACATAATCATTACATTTTTATAATCATATTTGAAAGTGGTATTTATGAGTCTGGCGAGTTTTGGTGTTATTTGAAGCATCTAAACAAAAGACAACCCGTATATAAATAACATAACATCTATATGCATCTATTAGAAAATTTGAAGCGTTTATTACAGGATCTCATTTAGCTGTTTACCCAATCATGGACATTTTTGTCCATAATCGGATTTTAACATTAAAGAGCTTTACTTGTGTTTACCGTCTTTATAAAGCCAGATTTTTCATTTAGTTTATAGCTTGTTACATTCTTTTAAGTCCACACAGTAATGAAAACAGTGTCCGTCACCAGTCGTATATTCCTGGATTTGTTTTTTTAGACATGGCACTGAAGCGAATAACCACTCAATTGTTACCAGTCACAAATGGATCATATGAAACATTACACCATTCGTCTAGAAATAACTTTAAGTACTATCAAGATCTCTTTTTTTTAAGATTGAATTTGTTAATTTAGCTAAATCGTTGATCGTTCATGTTTCAGGGTCCATGATTGGAAACCGTCCATAAATGGGTGTCCATAATTGAAAATTGGCCTGTCCCATATAAGGATACTCAAACAGGGTCTACTTTTTCTCGAATAACAAAGTGTTATTTATTAATTGATTTGATTAAAGTACTTTCAATCATTATTTGAAGACTTTTTAATCAATTAAACCTTTCATCGAGTTCCACAGGGTAACTCATCCAAAATTAAAAGACTAAAACGAAAAATAAATCCTAAAACAGTCCATGATTGGTTCCACTGCCTTACCCTTGGTAAAATGCCAGTCTAGACACCCTATTGTTACATCACTGCTTAGTAACTTCAACATGATATAACACACACTTACCAATATAGTCCTTACCTAGTGCTTTACCATAATGTTATTCAGTACCTAAAGCTAGCTGCCTCTTACAACAATGAGCAATCATAATGCTATGAAACGTTGCTGAAAAACATTATTATACTGTACAACTAAAAGTGAAAAAGCTGTTATAACAGGTTTTTTTTTAATTTTGCTCATGAATTAATAAAGAACGTTATGGACGCAGCAGCTGGTGTTTAAAGTCAGCGCAAATTTCTAAAATAAATAATTTTATTGACAGTTCGGTAATGTGGCAGTTGAAATGTGAAACAATAGGTACCTATAATTCCGAAAATACTTTATACCTATTATTTTATAGAACAACTTTGTATGATACAAAGGGGATGGATAAATGTAACCAGGTTAACCTTAAGTTCCCATTATGTCGTGATGACAGATGGCTGTTTTGTTTCAAAATTAATTTATTTAACATGGGTTCTGCCGTGACCGTGGGACCTGGGGCCCTACTCTCGAAACACAAAATACGTACTGGCCGTTTTCCTACTATGTATGACCTACAAGGTTTAGTTTCGACTGAAGTTTCGAATTAAGAATGTATTTACGACAACGCGGATGACCTACAGACTTGGGTTTTGGTTGAGGCTAGAACGAAGAACGTTTGACAACGCGATGACAGTTTCGAACGGGCAGTTTGGCAGTTTCGAATAAGGCCGACTTTTCGTCGACAGACGTTGACAGTAGTTCAGTAGATCATCCATAATGGGAAAACGGCCGTAACTACGGATTTCGTGAATAGGGCCCGTGTATAGAGTCCAAAACGCTGGTTTATTTGAAAAAAATATACGCCATTTTAGATCCGAAAAAAAAAACTTTCAATTCCAATTGTCTGAAACATGTATTATTTATAACACAACAATAACTATTGTACTTAAATTGAATGCAGGACCTGTACCTACTTCAAAACTGCAGGACTACTTTAACTAAATGAAAGCAAATTTTTGTAACTGTAGCATAATGAAATATATGTAATTTGTGTAACGTGCAAATCAGATACGAGCCAAATAATTTGGTCGCGCGACTTCCGGAAAATTCTCGCGCAGTCTCGCGAATTCCCGCAGCTACCGTATCGCATACGATACGTATCGAAACTACATATAGTTTATACGTCACACAATTGACATAAAGTGAATTATGCTATGTACATCATAGCAACAATTCGCTTCCATTCAATGGTGGCAATGTAAATTGAGCCTTACGGTAACTTTGGAATCTTGAGTCCTAGAATTATAGAATATAATATTTAAGCTACACAAAGCTATTTATGAATGTATTAAAAAATTATATGTACTTGTTGTTGGACAATGAATGAGTTCATTGATAAATGACTATTGCATCTGCGAAATTCGACTTCACCGCACACTAGATCAAATATTGTCGTAACTCAAAATTGTGGGATTGAGACAACACGGTTTGAAAATTAAAAAAGAAATACTGAGTGAAACCAATAATATATTCTCGTTTATAAATGGATTACAATTAACCTGATTTATCCCACTGCTAGGCAGGGGCCTGCCCCTGATCCCTTTACGCATACTTATCCAGAGCTAACTGAACCCAAGCCTTTCGTACGGGTCCAGTTCGCCACGCTATCGCTATATCAGTAATCTGAGATTGAGAACATAGTGTCATGTTCTGAATTCGGCCGGTCCGTTTCACACTTAGGGTCGTATTCCAGAACTCTACTCAATGCTCAAGTCAGGATTTGAGCAGACTTGAGTATGATTTCAAGCACTGGAAATACGACCCTAATGGTAAGGACTTGAGTATGATTTGCAGTCCTCACTGCAATACTCAAGTCCTGACTTGAGTATTGAGTAGAGTTCTGGAATACGACCCTAAGTGTAAATGGATGTAGTATTATGTGTAAATAAAAATAATCACATTATTCGCAATAAAACCCATTCGGTATTTTTTTTAATGCTCAAATTGTGTTGTCTCAATTCCACAACTTTCGAGTTACTACAGCTACAGGTTTTCATGCGCGACATTTTGTACTTAGGAACTTGATATGTACTTCTGAGACTATTACAATTAGTGTTTGATAAGATTTAGATTCATGTATCAACATTCATTCATATAATTTTTTTAAATGTGTTGCTAGCTACCAGTACGTCATGTAACGCTGATCTAATTCATATAAAAAAGTACACAATTGTTTTTTTATATGTATGTCTATAAGTCTTAGATTTCCAACAGTCTGTCTTAATCAACTGTTTTTTATTCTTATTTCGGCGAACAACGATTTAATTATTTAATATTTAATCTTTTTCCATTTAAATGATGACGGTATAAAAGTGAAAAATTGGGCTTTGTAATATGGGTGCAATTAGCATTCAGTGCATTTTCAAATTTTTAATAGGTCCTGGCAAAACATGGTCCCAATGTTATACTGAAAATTTAATGTAATTTCAAGTTTTTTTGCTTAGAAATTGTCGTACGTTCTTTTAGATGGTAACCAAGAGTTATATGTACGAACAAATAGATATGACAACAGATTCTACAGAATTAACTTAGGTGAGTATTGCTTCTACCATATCATCCATGTATTATAATTATAAATGTTACACCTTTTTTTGTAGAAACTTACATAATGTTAGGGAACACATATGTAAAGTCAAGATTATTATGGTTACTAATGTCGATTGTTACTATTTTTCGTTATGTATTAGATTTATCCATAAAGCAATCAATATAAAGATAAACAATAGTGCTCTTATGTAACTGATAAATAATTAAAATTAACGAAACATCTAACAATCCACAATTGAATGATTAACTCACAAGAAAACTAGGTTTATCTTATCTTTTATGATATTACTAACTCTGAACACATTTATTATTTTTTTGCCACAGAAAAAATTGTTGACTGCATTTCATAAATACCTAATCTAACTTACCACCTACAGTTTTGTGCTGCCTGCTGTCCAATGGGTAAAAGTAAATAACATTTAATTTGATTATGACAGTCAAAATTACTCAATGGTTATCATTTGAGAGAACTTCTGATGTAAACATAGTAATTTTTCTTACAACTATGAGATTAAGATAGGAAAGCTTCCTAGTACAACATGTCCACTAAGACAAAATATAACAAAACATGTAAGAAATCAAGAGACAAACACAAAAAAATTCTTAAAATAACTGACAATTTGCCGTCAACAGCACATCAAGCTAAATACACTTTTGTTCAAATATTCAGCAACAGAACAAGATCCATCAAATATGTAGCCTGATATGCTGCTATCTATACAATAGTAAGAGTCAACCTTATAACACTTACATCAGTGGGGCATTGCAGCAGGTTTATTTCACAGAAATTGTCACTAGTTGATATCTGGGGGCACTGAACTATAGTTGCATGACCAACATGCTTTTATGTAAGACTTATTCATTCCAGTAGTCTATACCTATCTATTTGGTCAGCTACAACAAAAGATTCTCACATTTATTTATCACTTAATATTATACTTAGGAACACAAAATCACAAACACTTAATGTTCATGAAAATCAGCAGTCATTTATTAATGTTGCAATCTACTGGGCCGTTTTAATTGTTCACTTTCATCATCATAATCTGTTTTTCTCCTTTTCCTCGACTCAAATCGCACACCTGTTTCTTGGACAACTTTCTCACTATTTTTGATAGCACTGACAATATTCTCTTTTGAAGGTGCAACCAGCTTTAGTTCATCAACAGTCTCATTTGAGGATCCGACAAGGTGCTTAACAATGTGCTCCAATATTTGTGGATCCTCTAGTGGCACTTCATCTGTAGAAACCTTATCATCCTCCTGATTAACCACATCAACCATCACTGAATATTTCCTCTTCATCTCTTCCATCATCCGCCTACCATCCTTCTCTCCAATAACATTATTAACACATACAAAGCTTTGCACCATTTTAGAGTGCTTGTCAATCTCTAGAAAACCCCTAGTTCTCATGTAAATGAAATGACCAGATCGTGACATCAGTCTGTAATAGGACTCTCCAAACTCTTTATTTTGGTCGTACATCTGCCTTAACACACAAATAACCCAGCGGACATCTTCTTTGTGCATAAATAAAAACGCTGAGGTCCCTGTCACCTCCTCTGTCATATAGCCTACAGCTAAGGATATACTCTGACCACATTGGACAATCCGACCATCAATCAAATGTCTTGTCCAGTACTCAGAGTCAGATGTAGGAGGTAAAATTTGTGGTGGCATAGGATTGGAACACACACGAGCAAAGCCAATAAAGACAAAATCATTCCCACTTGATGAAAATGTCCTGTTGTGCCTCACTCTCTGCCGTCTTATAATCTGCTCATCCTGCACACCATTTGAAGTTGCTCTGTCTGACTTACGGAGTGAGCCATCTATGCGACATTGTTCATAGCGAGGAGTATCAGATTTAGCGCCGGCCCTCATTATACGAACATGAAAGCTGTGATGTTTTTTAAATAATCTCTTGTCACAACCAGATTGCAGTTCTTGTGGGTAAATGTGTTGGCGGAGGATTTCCTTGTCTTCAGGGTGTATGTAATTGTAAACATCTTGACCCAAGAGGTCCACGGGACAGTACCCTAACTTCTCTTGGACATTAGGGGAAATATTAAATATGCGGCCACGACATGTGACGGCGAGTAAAAAGCCGCCCAAGATTTCAAAGCATCTGAGGAAAGCTGCCGACCATCTCTCTAAGTGAGGGCATGTGATAGTATCACCGAACACATGTTCATTACGGAGTTTGTTCGCAGCAAGCCGCAGCACGCTCGTCTTGTCTATCTTTCGCTGAGGGTGGACAACGTCTGGTAATAAACCTGTTATTTGGGTAATCTGAGAGTTGTATTGACTGCGACGTTGTTTTTCAGCGATGATCCGAGATTCACGGTCGCTAGCTTTTGGAGAGGGCATCTCAGGTGAACGGGAATCGGAGGAGGAGTCACCGGCAGCGTGCATGTCATAGCCGCGCGATGGCAGCGGCGACACGGCCGCACTTACTGCGAACTCGGCCCCAGGGGGCATGAGCCCCATCTGCCCATGCATGGCGCCGTGCATACTAAGCCGCATGCCACCAGCCCCCGGGGATGTCATTGCATACGACACCAGACAAAATGCCCTTGTTTACAACATCATCCACTAAGATTCCAATAAGATTGTCGCCCTGTTTACACTAGCCACTAACACGTCACTACATTGTTTTGGTTTGCATTGTAACTTGATTATAATAATTTATCGTCCACATCTCAATTCAGTCAAGCAAGTATTAATTTAATTTTTCCCGACCTCTTGCAGCGTCCACACTCGTGTGCGACACACGAACGAATGAGTTGAATGAATGAGCGAATAATTTCTGTTTGCATGAAACACACACAAGGATAAAAATTATACACAGTGTCACCATATGTGGCAGGATCCTGCCTTTTTGGCAGGATTGTCACCTTCGTTTTACCTTTGGCAGGTTCGGTAGACGTTTTATGAAATTGGCAGGATCTGGCAATATTAGCAATACGATCTGGCAGATTTGGCAGCTCAGCGTTATCACAGGTTTAAAAAAAAAATTCAATTATGGCAACTCAAAGTCGCGTCGCGGGGAATTGTAAATCTTAAGAGGAAACGTCACGGTCGATTTCCATACAAAATGAATTCGATATTTTCGTCACTGCGGCTGCTTTCCTGTAAATATTACATTACCAATAAAAAAATATTCATTTTCTAATTATCGCATCTACCAACATTAACGCTTAAAGTCCAATGATGAAATAATTGTAATCATTTCAAAATTAATTAAAATCGGTCAAATCTTTGATTGTGTGCGACAATGAATACACTATAAGTGGAATAAAATGGCGTCGTGGTCTATGGACAACGAAATCAGCTGTTCATAGACCACTCACTCTCCAATCGCTCCCCACTCGCTCTCCACTCGCTCCTCACTCGCTCCCCACTCGCTCCCTTATCTCTCCCCACTTGCTCCCCACTCGCTCCCCACTCGCTCTCAAGTCCCTCCCCACTCACTCCTCACTCACTCCCCACTCACTGCCCACTCACTCCCCATTATTTGAAAAATCGTGCCCGCCATCTTGGATTTAGAAATGAGTGTCATATTCGTGATGAGCACCCCCAAATACCTCGAAAATGATACCCATATTGCATTTATTTGAAGAGTCGTGTTCGCCACCTTGGATTTAGAAATAATTGCTATATTCGTTATGAGCCCTCCCAAATATCTTGAAATCGATACCCAACTTGCCATTATTCGAAAAATCGTGTCCGCCATCTTGAATTTAGAAATAAGTGCCATATTCGTAATGAACACCCCCAAAACAACGAAAATGATACCCGTATTGAATATATATTTAGTCGTGACCGCCATCTTGGATTTAGAGATAAATGCTACCTATATTCGTAATGAGCACCCCCAAATATCTTGAAAACGATACCCAACTTGCCATTATTCGAAAAATCGTGCCCGCCATCTTGGATTTAGAAAAAAGTGCCATATTCGTAATGAACACCCCCCAAATACCTCGCAAACGATGCCCAACTAGCCATTATTTGGAAAGTCTTGTCAAAAGTTTGAAAAGTTGAGGACTATTACAAGTTTAGTAACATCATTTATTTCCTGAGATAATTTTTGTTCACAAAAACGTAATCATACATCATATCTACACAAAACTTATCCCAAATCACTGGGCCAGAGCAAGGATTGCTGCTAGAAACAATATATCTCAAATTGTAAGTAAAATAAGTACCGTACAAAAGTTTCATTATGTTTTGTTTACATTTACAAACTAATAATATAGAAAAAAACCTGACTTCTAACATAGATATAAGCAAAATATAAAAAATTAGATGACCTAGGCTCAAACTCCAAACATTCGGTTTTCATGCTTAGGATAAAGAGGACACCTGAATACCTATTTTTAAGTTTCACACCATACAGCCAAAACTTGGCTGTATGGTGTGAAACGTTTGCCTTTTCCTTTACGGAAAGAATTGAAAAAACAATAACCATACCTTTGTATGTGTGTGTAACTAAGTTTTGAGCTGTTAATAGATATTTTTATCTGATTGAAACATTGTATCTGAAAAGTTTTATGAATTTTAAATGTATCATGAATACCTCCAATCGCGTATACAATAAAAGTATAACTTTTGCTGCCAATTTTGCGAATATCGTAATAAACTGTTATTTAGCCTTACCAACGCCATCTATTGGGTATTAGATTACATAAAACCGTGACGTTTCCCCTTAACGTAACGATGTTAATGTCTTTATTTCGTAATTTTTATATGTATATCTAGATGTGTCGGATGGTGGCGGTAATTTTTATTGCTCTAAGTCGAAGGCTCCGAGGTCTGCAGTGTACGCGATTCAAAAAATACGACAACTTTCGGTCGTCGAAACAGCTAGGTTGGTTTACTTCAAGTACGTTGACAATTTTATGATATACGTACTACATTTTGCTTTGAGGAAATGCCACCGATATATTAATAGAATATTTGTCCTGCAGAGCAATTTACAATCTAGCCCTAAGAGTGTCTTTGAGAGATAAGTTTAAAGAGATTAACATTCTTACACTAATGTAACGTCACGGTACATTTGTGAAAATGTTATATAAGTTAAGAAAAATATTAATTTTTTTATGAAAAATTGTGACAGACATAACAATAACACTAGGAATAAAAACGAAGTAGCTGTTCATAAAAGTCGTCGTTAACGTATACGGTTCTATAATAAGATTCCGATTACCATTCAAAAGCCATCTAAGAGGTTTAGTATAGTGAAACAAAAACTTTATACTTAAGATTTATTATACAACTTCTGTGTACTTGGATGACAAAAATCCGTGGTAGTGGCCCGTCTGCTCTTGTAGTTACTCTCAATTTAAGATGTTTCACTCAAATATTGTATTGATAAATGTATTCAAATGTCTATTTATGAAGAGCAACCACTACAGTTTCTTGCTCATTCTTCTCAGGGAATCTGCCTTACGAATGAGTAGTGGAATTTAAACAGTATGACGATTTCAAGTGTAATTTAGTTACCTATGGAATAAAGATTAGTTGACAATGACTTAGATTTATGAACCCAGTTTAGAATGGGCATATTATTTTTCTTCTGTGCCTTGCTCATTTCTCTACAAGTAGACATAAATTATTCTTCTAAAACATATAATGTTATTGTAATAAAAAATATAAATGTAAAATATCTCTTTTTTTTTATCTATTTTTAGTCCATTACTATATTAAATATTAAGTAGACAATATTTTGACCTTTTCTGCACTAAGAGTCTGGCAGGATTTGTCGGTTTTCTTGCTACACTAAGGCAGGATCTCTGATTTTAATATAGTCACACTGCTTCTCCACCGATTGCAGTGCAAAGGAGATAGAATTATATTTATTGAAAATCGACATTAGTAAGAAAGAGACACCGCATTCATTCATTGCGTTATCTTGCATTTATCAAATAGGTATGTTCGTTATGTAGTCAATAAAGCTCGTTTACATTTAATTAAATAGAAGTTACTGTGACGGGTCTAAATATAAAAATCACAAAAAAAATTCCGAGTCCGAGTTAATCTATTTAAATATCACTACATGTAAATAAGTTATAAAAAACTAAAACATTTCATTCAAATTGTAACGTCATTACGTACTGCTTAATTTTACTTGCAACAATTTAAAAAACCAAAAATTCACTATATTCAGCTTCTATTGGAAACTTAACAAAATGCATCATGTTTAGATTTTAGTGAAAACGACTTTTTTTAAGAGACCAAGTGACTTGAACACAAAAGTAATGGAGCAGCCTTTATTATCAATATTAATTAATTTATATATAATATTATCGTCGGACAACAGCACATCAGACTACACATTTTTGTTCGAAAATCGCCTCCAGTGCAACGGAACAAGATACGTCAATAACAGTGTACCTTGATTTGCTGTTTACTGTACAATTGTACAAATTTACTTAAAGAAATAATAAAGTGCTACGCAAATGTACGGGGTGACGGTTCAAACGCTATTCAATTTATAGTGTGTTTTGGGAAAATCACTACGTTCATCTCTAAAAAAATCACAAAGAAATATCCACAAAGACAGTTTAAGGGCCGTATTCCAGAACTCTCACTACTCAATGCTCAAGACTTGAGTATGATTTCAACCACTAGAAATCATACTCAAGTCCTGACTTGAGCATTGAATAGAGTTCTGGAATACGACCCTAAATGATTTTTTTTTTGCATTATGTTTCTGAGATTTGTATCTTTTCAACAGAACTTGTTTAATAAAATGAGCTAGCATATATCAATTGCAAATAGCCCTTTATGAACATTTTTGTGTTCACAAAACTTAGCTTTCAGAGAATCTTATTAAAATAAAATACGTAGTACGTAACTACGGAAAGGTATGTTCAATGCAGAAAAACTAGCGTATTTCATGCAGATTCTAACGATTTATAACACATGGTATTTTTTTTAGCTTCACTAAACATTTACCAGTTTGTCTTCATTGTCTTTGACAGTAATATGTCTAGAGTGATAAATTCTGAAAAAGTTATTCATGATTTTGCGAAGCAAAAATCGAAGTCATTTGGAATCTTTACTTATTAAATAAAAATTATTCCTTTGCACTGGAGTAGATATGAGCGCTGCGTCCGCCGACAAATCCAATCGGAGCGCCCGCCGTTCGGTTCAGTTGTATAAGTAGTGAAAATGGCGACGCTAGTAATTACCATTTCTGAGAAATAACTTTGTGACTTTATATTCGCAGATGTTTTGTTTTAAAACATTAATTTTTCAAATTCTGGCGTCACCATTTTTACTACGCACACATAATACGGAAGCATGCGCGTGCCTACGATCGGAGCGCTTGATCGAACTGGTAAAAAATTTATTACTGTAGAAAATACGTTATTTTATTTTTTCCTTTGAAAAAGTATTAGTATAACCACAGAAATTTATCTAGATAGACGCCGCAAGTACAGCAATTTGTATGAAAACCGAGCATGGCGCATTGTTTGTATCCACTATGACGTCACAAGAACTATTTAGTAGACGTGTGTCGATTCTGATCGATCGAATCAAAATGATTCGAACAGCACCTGTGACCCTGTAACCCACGTTACTAGCTTCTAAATAACCCGATCATTTTAGAGTTCCATGGGTGATGCGCACAATATTCGATTTTATTGCTATAACTAGACATTATTCAACCATTCACAATATTACTTTT